AGGAAATGATTTATCTGTTTTTTGCCCACTTAACACTTAACAGAAATCACTCAAATTGTAATTAATTTTGTCTTCAAAAATATTTAATAAAAATAAAAACTTGTAATAATACCGTCGCATTTCCAAAAATGTACTCCGTAATATTTTATTTTTTTAAACTCACTATTGAGATAATGATTAAGATTCTAAGCCCCAACAATTGTTTTAATACTTCATATTTTTTTTCATCTTCATACAATTCTTTCTTAATTTATTAACACAATGATGAAAATTATCACAACCAGATTGTTGAAATTAAAAACGAAATTAATACTATTAGACATTCAAATATAGAATCATTTAAAAAGAATATTTCTGATCAAGTAGCTTACTTTTATTTAATAATGATGAATATTGATATCACACACACGTACACATACACACATATAGGGATTGATTCAAATAAAAAATGATCTCTGGGTGAAAAATAAGAATTAATCTAGACCTTTAAATTGATAAAATTGAAGGATCAGAACAAATTTTAAAGCAAAAATATGGTTCACTTTTATTGGAGTCGCTAAATTAAAAGTGCATTGGTGTGTTGAAAAAAATGCAATATTCATTATATGCTTGTGTGTGTGCGCGCACACGTGTATTATATATATATACACAAGTAAATACGTTTAGCCTAGCCAAAAATGTAAATATGTTTGGTTGTTTCTTTATTTTTACAACTACAATTTAAATATGTCTTCACTTTTGAAATAGATTCCTAATCCAAATTAGGAAATCTTTATATGTTTACAAGTTCCTAATTTTATTTAATACTTTTTGGATGTTTTTAAGTGGATTGATTTCAGACCCAAACTAGATCAGTTCAAATCAAACTTTAATGATGATGATGATGATCATGATGATGATGATGATGATGATGATGATGATAACAATAATAGGACGCATAAAATGTAAAACAGACATCTAACAGACCATATTACTTCAGAGTTCAAACCAAATCAAACCCAGAAATTTTAATTCAATTAAAAGCATCCTTAGTAATGACATTTTCAATGTGACGAAATAATCAGTTAAATGTAAAAAACACCATTTTTTACATTTTTTAATGTGAGAAAATAGTGAGTAAAATGTAAGATCTTACTTTTAAAAGTTAAATGTATAGTATGTACTCCATATTTTATACCTGGTTGAATGAGGAATATTAAATAAAATATTCTTAGGTGCATAATAAAGTAATTTAGAGGATGTGAGATTAATTAAGGAGTTTCTTTGTGAATTACTGAATTCTTTAAAATCAAATTCACAACAACTATTTTTAGTTGAGATGCTTATGTAGAAGATCATTTTAATTATTTTTCAAATATAATTTTTTTTATTCTATATATATATATATATATATATATATATATATATCTTCATGATTCGCGAGATTCCGTCTATTCAACCCATTCAGCCAGAATTTAATCTATTTCAGTAAAATAAGTTGATTCAACTCATTTTAGTATTATCAAATGGACTCTATATTTAGACTGGGTTTATTTTGTTTTTGCATTACATTGTACGTAGTATATGTGATGCACGGGCTTGAAAACTAGTTACACAATAAGATGAAATAATGATGTGGGCTTGCACGTTGTGTTCACCGCAATCACCGGTGATGGATCGTGAAATTGAAAGTTGGGTATACAAAAAAAATTCACGATTTAAATATGGGTAATTCTATTCACAATCCCCATATTACTAACTACAGCCCCCAATTACTTAAAATATCCAATTTGCCCTTAATAAAATAATATAGAAACTAATATCCTGAAATACTCACGCCAGATATCAACGATCACTCGGCAGCCTCAATATATCTTGAGGCTCTCATACTCAAGATATCAGTCGACAAGGAATGCATAACATCGATCATGTACATATTGTAAGCCATATTGTCTCTATACTGGCAAAGTGGCAATTGTTTTTATGGAAAACACTTGATGTGCATTGCTGTCGTACTTGGATAGTTGGATGTATGGATTTAACTTCTGCAGTGCAATAGAAGAAATATATATGGATTTTTGTGGCTTCCATCTCCTCCCCAATCAAAGATCATGACGCTCCACAAAATACTCTGTACAATCTTCTTTCTTTGTGGAAAACCCATTTCCGCTCTTCTTCTCACTCAAATACAGAGTACAACACTACTCAAAGTGATTTATTTTCCCAGTTCTCGCGATGTCCTGTTTACCGGCATTTTCCGAAGGAGGATTATGTGCTCGTCGTCCAGAACAGTTTGCTTCCGGTTAGCGGACTTTGTACCGAAGGAGGGTTATGTGCCGGTCTTCAAACATCTCTCTGAATTAGATGCTCAGCCGCTCAGGTGTTGTTATTTAGAAGAAGGGTACAATGGGAATTATAAATAATAGGTGGCTTTATTTAACAAAGCAGCGGCGGCCTTTAGAATTTCCCTTTAAATATTGCACGATAATATTGTTTGATCAATTGATCCTACGATTAAATAAATGTAATTTTTCAACAACAAAAAACTAGCAAAAAGAGTTAAGGGTAGACAATATTGTATCAAACATATAATATATGAAATATTACATCAATTCTATACATGTATTTTTACATTTTATTTTCAATTTTTTGGGTGTTCACCTGAACACCCCTGAACAAAAGGCGTCCACCTCCGATGGTCACGTATCACACGGCAATTTGCTCGATGCATATGCAACATTTCACTACTTATGTCCCTGGTATGCTCGGAACATTAAAAGTGAGGGACTTTTTTTTTGGATTAAAAGTGGGGGACATGTTTTGAGGTATTTTTGTTCATGCAACTATGTCCGCCTTGCTGGACATGCTCCGCCCTGGAGGGATCAGACGAGTGCTCATCTCACGCTTGGAGTTTGGGTATTTTAAAAAGTGGGGACTCGTATTGGGGTATTTTAAGTTTGGGTGCTCATCTCACACTTGGACTTAATTTTTTTTATATATATTTCCTTTTCTTTAATTTAATATTTGGTGGTTTATTATTATTATCTTAGTGTTTCGTACTCGTATGTTTTAGTTATTCGAACCAGTTTTTTTATTAATAAAAATTATTATTTCAACTATGAGCTAACTATTTTGGTTTAGTTGTTCGAACAAGTTTTTGATTATACAACTTCTAAGAAATAATAATCATTACTAATTAACAGGTTTAATTATTTCAACTATAAATAGTACTCTGTATTTTAGGAGAAAATAATTTAAATGTCTCAAACTTTGAAGTGGTATGACTGTATGAGTGAAGTACCCCAAATTTTATATAAAATGTTATCTTAACAACATCACCATATTTTTTTCGTAAATTTAAATTTAAGGTGTTAAGTACGCTATTTAAAATAATTTTACATTCGCGAGGATATTATTAACATTTTAAAAATTCATTATTGTGAAATAAATAATATTTTCCCCGGTGACCCGGTCTATATAATTGCAAGACTTTGAATTTGTTATTTGTCATCCCACTACTTTCATTAGTACGGAGTAACATAATAGCGAAATCGGATGTATTGGCTGATTCTGCTGGAATTTATAAAATTCTGGCTGATAAGGCTATATTGGCTGATTTTGCTGATTTGTGAAAAATAAAAATTTAAAATACATTTTATTAATAAAATAAAGAAAAAATTATATGAAAAATAGTTAAAATGGTCCTCTACGGTAACTTTAGCCAATATAGCCAGAAAAGTAACTCTGACCTTACTTTTTCTTATTATTACACAATTCAGCCCATAAAATCAAAAATTACTTGTTTGGTGAAAAAGTTGGCATATAAGCTTGAAAAGCCAAAAATGATGGCTACCAAACGGTCACTTAGAGGCCGTTTGACAACATTGTTTTTCGGCTTATCAGGCTTATCAGCTAACTTTTTCACCAAACACGTAACTTTTGATGCTTTCGCGTGCTGAGTTGTGTATTAAGAAGAAAAATTAAGGTTGAGTTACTTTTCTGGCTGTATTGGCTGAAGTAACTATAGATGATCATTTTAGCTATTTTTACATATACATTTTTCTTTATTTTATTAATAAAATATATTTTAAAATTAATTTTTTCTTAAATCAGCAGAATCAGCCAATGCAACTACTTCAGCCAGAACTTCATAAATTTCAGCAGAATCAGCCAAATCAGCCAATTTTCGTGCTACCAAACGGGCTCTTAGAGTATGACTTTTTAAACTTTGTATTTACTAATTGTCAATGTTAATAGTCAAAATCGTATATTGACAAATATCAAAGTTAAGAATTATTTTTTTCATATTTTTTATTGATAGTGTTAGAAAAAATTAAAACCACTTTTGCATTATTCATTTATTATTAATGTTTTTGGAGCAATACTTTAATGATTTAGACATCCGTATTTACTACGAGGATGTTTTTACTTGGACTGTAATTTGCTGGTCTGATCTGGTTTGGTCTGGTCTGGTCTGAACTGGTCTGTTCTGGTCTGGTAATGTCTGGTATCTTTGTATTTTTATAACTATCCTAGTCTGATCTGGTCTGAACTGATCTGGTCTGGTCTGATCTGGTTTGGGACGAATTACAGTCCAAGTAAAAATATCTTAATTGAGAGATAGTTTTTCTTAAAACTAAAAGTACAAAAAAATAAAGTATGAGTGGAACCAATGATTCAAATCAACAGTGACTTGGCTACAGAGTAATAATCTCCAATTCTCCATCATGGGAGAAACTAATATGATCCTGGTCCTTACAAAAAAAATGATCCTGGCCGTTTATATAAGTCAAATCCAACGCGAGAGTTTTGTTTACAAAAAGGTCGGACAACTTTATGGTCCGGTAGTTCGGAGGAGAGCACGACTCTATATAATCAAAGTATTATGTATAAAAATTAATAAAATATTACTCACTCCGTTCCAATTTCATGGTACCAAAACTTTTGGGCACAAAAAATAAGAAATTGTGATAAAAGTGCATATATACCCTTTAGCAACTAGCTTTACCAATTTTTACAGTGGGTACTTTGATAATCAAATTGACATTCCAAATGATTTCATAACTATTCACAATTGTACATCACATCACATCTTACAGTTGGACAAACCAACCATGTAGCTTCCCTCCTAAACATTTCTTGTTCAACCAAAAAAAGGAGGGAACTCAAAAATTAAACTTCTAAAATTACACTTTCAAAATTACAACCTCTAATACAACCTCAGCCCTATAAATACAACAACATTCAGCACATTTTAAACTACTTCATCTACGTTTAACTGCCATCATTAATGGCTACCTCAAGCTCTAACTTGGCCCCATCACTTCCTCACTCTCCTCCACCTGCGCCAGCAACTGCCCTCGTCCATTTTCCTGCACGGAGATCAAGACTTACAAACAAGGAAAAAGAAGAAATAAAGGAATATTTTCTGAAGAATGTGGATGACTTTGGGCAAATATTATTAAGGTAATCAACAAAGGTGCAAATATTATTAAGGTGTCCAGACATGTCATGTCCAGAATATGGCAGATTGTAAAGCAACAGTTACATAATGGACAAAGGCTAGATGTAACTCACAAGCTGACTAAACATGTTGGAAGAAAAAGGGTAACTATACCCCTTCAAAGTTTTAAGGACATTCATTTGAGCAAAAGGACCAACATAAGGTCATCCTCTCATGCCCTAAAAATGTCTAAAAGTACATTTCACAGAATGAAGCAGAGAGGTGAAGTAAAAGCACATACAAGCACCGTGAAGCCATTTCTTACAGAACAAAAGAACTTGGTGTCAATTCTGCCTTCATCACTTAATTCCAGCTTCCTTACCAGACACTCCCATATTTCAAGGGTTTGACCATTTTATCCACATCAATGAGAAGTGGTTTAACCTAATCAAAATAATGACAAGACGATACATTCATGAGGGAGAGACTCCCAAGACAGGCATTGCAAATCTAAAAGGTTTATAACCAAGGTGATGTTTCTGTGTGTTGTGGGCAAACCTATTTTGGGTAGCGAAGGGAAAGTCATATGGGATGGGAAAATAGGGATATGGCTGTTTGTGGAGCAGGTGGAAGCATCAAGAAAAAGTAAGAACGAACCAAGACACACAATGCAAGCTGTGAAAGACATTAGAATATACTTTAGAATATTCTTCTATCCTTAGAATATACTTTAGAATATTTTAGGAATATACTCTAGGATATTATTATTGTATAGAATCTTATAGGAATATTCTATCTTTGTAATGTATATTTATAGGGACTTAACCCTCCAATGAAATACACAGAAAATCTTTCCTCCTCTCTTCAATATTATATTTTGTAGTTTATATTTCAACATGGTATCAGAGACTTCCATTTCAGTTTAGTTTTTCAGATTTCAGTTCTTTATTCAGGCTGACTTCAGTTCAGTATTCAGGCTGGGTTCTTTCTCCAAGAACTTGAGTTAACTTCAGAACCTTACACACCATTTTCAGAACCTTACACACCATTCTGCCTACAGAACCTCTACACACCATTAAACAGAACCTCTGTCCAGACCAACACCGTCCTATTTCTCACCTCCGTCCTAACCAATTGCACTTGCCGCCGCCGACCACGTCTTTGGAGTCCGCACCGGCAAAGCTTCGCGCGTCAGTCACACGCGCCGCCGAAGACTTTCTTGGCTGCCGCACGCGCCGGCGAGTGAAGCTTCATAGCTGACCGGATTTCTAATCGGAAATCGCCATCTCTGCCAGGCAAATCCATTTTTCCGATCTGCGAGCTTTTGGATCCACGGTCTTCTTGAGGTTGGCGACGCAGACTGTTGAGAAAGGTTGGGATTTGAGACTAGGTGAACTAACTCGAATTAGAAAGGGGCCGCGTTATATTTTTGGAGTCGCCACTATCATTAGCTGGTAAGTCAGAAACCCAGACCTCGCCAACCATCTATTGAGCTGCGGCTGGTAAGTCTTAATTAGCTGTATTTATTTATTTATTCTCAAAAAAAAAAGTAAAAAAAAAATCAAAAAAAAAATCAAAAAAAAAAAAAAAAAAATCAAAAAAAAAAAGAAAAAAAGAATGTCTTTTACGGGTCCATTTGGCAGAGGAGTAATATGCCATTACTGCAAGAAGCCCGGGCACTTGCTCAAAGAATGTAGAAAGTTGCTGTTCAAAAATCAAGGAAATCAGCTTGCTCATGTTGCTTCCGCTACGAGTTCATTTGATGGATCAATTGCTATTTCTTCAGACGAGTATGCTAAATTTATTTGCTACCAAGAATCTCTAAAGCATTCATCTACCCCTATCTCGGTAGTCGCAAATTCAGGTATTTCAAACACATGTCTTGTTTCATCATCCTCAAAATGGGTCATTGACTCAGGTGCCACAGATCATATGACTGGTAATCCTAGTCTATTCTCATCATTTCACTCACATTTACCTGCTTCCAGTGTCACTTTAGCAGACGGGTCTACCTCACCCGTTCTTGGATCTGGTACTGTTGTACCAACTTCTACATTACCATTATCGTCTGTTTTGAGTCTTCCTAATTTTGCATTTAATCTGCTTTCCATCAGTAAAATCACACGTACTCTTAATTGTTCTGTAACATTTTTTCCGGGATATTGTGTGTTTCAGGATCTGTTAACGAAGCATACTATTGGTCAAGGACATGAGTCGGGTGGTCTTTATATTTTGGATACATCAATTACAAAAGGTATCTCTTGCCTTGGGGTTGGAAATCTATTAGAAGCTCATTACCGATTAGGACATCCATCTCTCTCACTAATGAAGCAATTATATCCTCAGTTTAATAAGGTGTCTTCTATACAATGTGAGTCGTGTGAGTTTGCTAAACATCATCGCACTAGTTTAAGTCCCCGACTTAATAAACGAGCAAATGCTCCGTTTGATCTTGTCCATACTGATGTTTGGGGGGCATGTCCAGTTGTGTCCAAACCTGGTTTCAAATATTTTGTCACTTTTGTTGACGATTATTCTCGTATGACATGGGTGTATTTTATGAAGCGCCGATCCGAGTTATTTACTCATTTCTCTGCATTTTGTGCTGAAATTAAAACTCAATTTAATGTTCCTGTTCGTGTGTTAAGGGGAGACAATGCCCAAGAATATTTATCTGCTCCATTTAAATCTTTTATGCTTCAACATGGCATTATTCATCAAACTTCATGCGTAGACACACCTCCTCAAAATGGAGTTGCTGAAAGAAAGAATCGACATCTGTTAGAAACTGCAAGGGCTCTTCTATTCCAAATGAATGTGCCTAAACAGTTTTGGGCTGACGCTGTGTCTACTTCATGTTTTTTGATCAATCGTATGCCATCTTCTGTTTTGGATGGTAAAACTCCTTATCAATGTCTTTTTCCAAATAAAGAACTTTTTCCTATTCCACCTAAAATATTTGGTTGCACTTGTTTTGTTAGAGATGTTAACCCTCATCGGACGAAATTGGACCCCAAGTCATTGAAATGTATTTTCTTGGGTTATTCTCGAGTTCAAAAGAGGTATAGATGTTTTTGTCCAAGTACAGGTCGATATCTTATTTCTATTGATGTCTCATTTCATGAAAATACACCATTTTCATCATCCAAGACAGATATTCATGAGGACAACGATGAAATACTCATTTACACAGTTACTATACCTGAGACCACACCTTCAGTAACTATGTCGAATGTCACTGTTCCTGACCCTAGACCTCCTGTACACTTGGTTTACACCCGTCGACACAAAGCACAAGATCACTCCCCACCTGTGACACCTGTGATTACATATCCTGATACTGGTCCGACTTCGATCTCATGTCCTGAACCAGTACCTGCATCTTCAGATCTTGTCTCTACATCTGATCTTGACCTCCCGATAGCACTACGTAAAGGTACACGGTCTTGTACTCATCCTATTTCCTCATTTGTGTCATACAGTCAGTTATCTCCTGCCTCATGTTCTTTTGTTGCTTCCATTGATTCTATTTCTGTTCCCAAATCTGTTAAAGAAGCTTTGTCTCATCCTGAATGGCGACATGCCATGGTAGAGGAAATGAATGCTTTGGATCTTAATGGTACTTGGGATTTGGTATACTTGCCTTCAGGGAAGAAGTCTATTGGATGTAAGTGGGTCTTTGCTGTTAAGGTTAATCCAGATGGATCTGTTGCTCGATTGAAAGCTCGATTGGTTGCAAAGGGTTATGCTCAAACCTATGGTGTTGATTATTCTGACACTTTTTCTCCTGTTGCTAAATTAACATCTGTCAGGTTACTTATCTCACTCGCTGCAACTCATGATTGGCACTTACACCAGTTGGACATTAAAAATGCATTCTTACATGGTGACCTTCAGGAGGAAGTTTATATGGAGCAACCTCCGGGATTTGTTGCTCAGGGGGAGTATGGGAAAGTTTGTCGACTTCGCAAATCTCTTTATGGTCTGAAACAGAGTCCTCGTGCATGGTTTGGGAAATTCAGTCAATCCATTGAACGGTTTGGAATGATAAAAGGTCAATCAGATCACTCTGTCTTTTACAGAAAAACGAAAGCAGGTATCACATTGCTTGTGGTGTATGTCGATGATATTGTGATTACAGGAAGTGATACCGCAGGTATTTTGGCCCTTAAGAATTTTCTTCATAGCCAATTCCAAACAAAAGACCTAGGCTCATTGAAATACTTTCTGGGTATTGAGGTAACACGGAGTAAGAAAGGCATATTTCTATCTCAGCGTAAATATGTACTTGATTTACTAACTGAAACGGGGAAATTGGGAGCAAAGCCAAACACAACTCCCATGGTTCCCAATGTGCAACTCACTTCAGAAGGCATACCATTCGAAGACCCAGAAAGGTACAGAAGATTGGTTGGAAAGCTTAACTATCTCGCAGTCACTCGTCCAGACATTGCTTACTCTGTGAGCGTAGTGAGTCAATATATGTCATCTCCGACAGTTGATCATTGGAATGCAGTAGAGCATATATTATGTTACTTGAAGGGGACACCAGGACGAGGTATTGTTTACCAAAATCATGATCACATGAGAATAGAATGCTTTGCAGATGCTGATTGGGCTGGATCTAAAGATGATAGGAGATCCACATCTGGCTATTGCGTCTTTGTTGGTGGTAATCTCGTCTCTTGGAAAAGTAAGAAGCAAAATGTGGTTTCTCGTTCGAGTGCTGAATCAGAATATCGGGCTATGGCACAATCAGCATGTGAGATAATCTGGATAAACCATTTGCTGAGTGAAATCGGATTGAAGACACCAATGCCTGCTAAACTCTGGTGTGATAACCAAGCTGCTATACACATTGCCAACAACCCAGTGTTTCATGAGAGAACAAAACATATTGAGGTCGATTGTCACTTTGTTCGAGAAAAGATACAACAAGGATTGATCTCTACAGGATATGTGAAGACTGGAGAGCAACTTGGAAATTTGTTCACTAAAGCATTAAATGGAATTCGTGTTGGTTATTTATGTAACAAGTTGGGCATGATAAATATCTATGCTCCAACTTGAGGGGGAGTGTGAAAGACATTAGAATATACTTTAGAATATACTTTAGAATATTCTTCTATCCTTAGAATATACTTTAGAATATTTTAGGAATATACTCTAGGATATTATTATTGTATAGAATCTTATAGGAATATTCTATCTTTGTAATGTATATTTATAGGGACTTAACCCTCCAATGAAATACACAGAAAATCTTTCCTCCTCTCTTCAATATTATATTTTGTAGTTTATATTTCAACACAAGCAAAGTCCATTCTTTCAGTGACAAAACAGTGTACAGGGCAATGCTACTCACAAAACTCATTCCAACCATAAAAGCTAAGAGGTCAGTAGCATTAGCCAGGGAAGTTATCATCCAACAAGATAATGCCAGACCACACATTAACACAAATGATCAAGAATTCAATCATGTAGCAAGTGACGATGGGTGGAATATAAGGTTGTCAATGCAACCACCTGACATTCCTGACATGAATGTCCTAGACTTGGGATTTTTAAATTTCATACAGTCTTTGCAGTATCAAACATGCACTAAAACAATTGATGAGTTGCTTGTAAATGTTCAAGAAGCATACACATGGTTATCCCCCAAAACACTTAATCATGTTTGGCTAACATTTCAACTCACAATGGCTGAAGTTATTAAGGTTAATGGAGGGAATAAATACAAGCTTCAACATATTGGAAACCACAGATTGGAAAGACAAGGTATTATTTCTACCAACATTGTAATGGACAAACAGATAGTAGAAGATGCAATAAACCATCTAAATGGAGCAGTATAAACAATATAGAATGAGTTGCATTTATGTTTTGTTTAAGTAAGTGACAATACTCTCAGTTAACAAGATTATCATCATAGAGATGTTAGAATGCATCTCTTTGATAAGGTTGTTAGCCTCATAGAGTTTGTTCACGAATTGTGTTAACTACAACTATTTTGGGTATGTTTTTTTAATAGTTAGCCAATATATGTAATGGTAAGTTTTTTTGTACTCTTGGTTGTTATTGTTTTATGACACGGTAGCATACTATAGCCAATATATCATTCAAGAGTGTCCATGGGCTCACATTGTACATATAAAGCATCAAACTCACAACAAAGCATCATAAGTATGCAATGAATTACAACATGGGTGGCAATCAAGTTATCATTTAACCTCCTACATGTTTGTAATCACAATAGCATACTTAGGCAATGTCATCATAGTCAATTTGGTCTCACATGTGCATCACATTCAGTGTTGGACTAACAGAACTCAATTATAGCCTCACAAAAGTGTTCATAGGCTCACAGACTACATATAAAGCATCAAACTCAGAACAAAAGCATCATAAGTATGCACTGAATTACAACATGGGTGGCAATCAACTCATCATTTAACCTCCTACATGTTTGTAACCATAGTAGCATACTTAGCCAGTGGCATCATAGTCAATTTGGTCTCACATATGCATCACATTCAGCGTTGGACTAAAAAACTCAATTACAGCCTCACAAGGGTGTTCATAGGCTCACAGACAACAAATAAAGCATCAAACCCGGAACAAAAGCATCATAAGTTTGCACTGATTTACAACATGGGTGGCAATCAACTCATCATTTAACCTCCTACATGTTTGTAACCACAATAGCATATTTAGGCAATGTCATCATAGTCAATTTGGTCTCACATTTGCATCACATTCAATGTTGGACTAACACAACTCAATTAGAGCCTCACAAGAGTGTTCATAGGCTCACAGGCAACATATAAAGCATCAAACTCAGAACAAAGCATCATAGCTATGGACCCAGTTACAACATGGGTGGCAATTAACAAATCATTTCACCTCCTTCATGTCTATAACCACATTAACATACCCACACATAGTTTACACCACAATTAGCATCATTAGTCAAGCCCAGCGTAAACAAAGAGAGATTGAGGTTTAGATATACATATAATTTAGTCAATTTGGGAGACTTATCTGAAGCATGGTAGGTCGTTCATTCCGTGCTTCGGCCAGATACGACTAACACGCTGGAGAAGAATTGACATCCTCACCATATTCGAAATCTGGCTTTTTGTATGTGAGCTCCACAATTAGATCTGGGTCTGTTTTGTAATCGTATCCTCTTCTCTATTTATCTCCACGGTTGTATCCACCGGGCCTGTAGTTCCGCCACCACTTCCTAAAGTAGGGTTTGTTTCGTTACCGCACTCATCAATCTGTGGCTCAAGAATGATAGATTCTAGAAATAATTAGGCATCAAGGGCAGAATCTAGAGCTTGAGAATTGGGGTGTACTGGAGCAACAATGGTGGTTCGAAGGTTGTCGACAGAGGATATGGGGCTAGAGAAATGAAGAGACAGAGGAAATAAGAGGACTGTTCGAATGAAGAGGTAAATGCATAAGATAAAATAGGGTACGAAGTATGAGGATATTAAATGAGGGGTATATTAAATGAGGGGTACATTTGTCCACACACAATTATTACTATGCCTATTAAGGAAATGATACTATCATTCTGGGACACCCAAAAAGGAAATAAGGTACCATCAAATTGGGACGGAAGAAGTATTAACTTTCTATTAATGCAGGTTTAAAAAATATACTACGTAACTTTTTTAATGTTAAGGATGTTTTTATTTGGACTGTAATTTGTTGGGTTGGTCTGGTTGTTTAAGTTTGGTCAGGTTTGGTCGGAACTGATCTACTATGGTCTAGTAAATGTGTGTCTCTGTATATTATATAACTATGGAAGTCTAGTCTGTTTAGTCTAATCTGGTATATTTAAGTCTGCTCTGACTTGATATTGGATTGGAAAAAGTCCAACTAAAAACATGAAGCACTAAGTGAATGTTTGCAAGTTGCAAGTTGCAACTGCTTCTGCTTAAAAAAAGCACTTTTGGAAGTGTTTTTGGAAAAAGTGATTAGTGTTAAAATTTGATAGTGTTTGAAAAAAGTGATTTTGAAAAGTAAAAATTAATAGTATTTGATAAATAAGTATTTTTGATGTAATAGAAAAAGTTTAAATCACTTTTTGAAAAGCAAACATTTTTTTAAGTAAAAACTAGATTTTTACCCGTGCGTTGCACGGAATGCAGTTATTAAGCAATAAGTTATTTGAAAATATATTAAAAAAATGTGATAAAAAAGCAACACATACGGATTAATATATTATCACTTCTGGATAAAGTGTTATACGGATTAGTATAATTATGATATTTTTAATTGGAATGTAATACCTAAACATAGCATTAATTAATAAACCCTCCGTCTCATTTATATTGTCTCGTTTTATCTTTTCGGGAAATCCCACTTAAATTGTCCCATACCATATCTAGTAAAGCTTGTGTGGCTCAAAATCATTCTTACTTTATTCTTACTTAATCGATTAATTTTGACCACACGAACCCACTTTTCATAAAACTGATGCCACTTTCTTCCGTCCCAATATAAAAGGGACGGAGGTAGTAATATAATTGAAAATGTACTCTCCCGACCCATTTAAATCGTTACATTTTCCTTTTTGGGACATCCCATTTACTCTTTTACGTAACATTTTTAGGCAACTCCTTTTAAATTAAATGTCGTCCTAAACTCGTAATTACCCTTCACTACTCACCCACTTTTTACATTTGAATGGATAGCATTAATTACCCCAACAGTCAAAGGACATTGAAGACATTTTTTCTCCTATTAATTGAGCTCATAAAATACTGTGCCAAAAGCAAATGTCTAAGTTTCATACTGGACGGAGGGAGTAATATGTAACATCGCACATACATATTGGTTTGTCGAGTGAGTATACTGTATACCCCGACGTAGTAAATGCATTAATTAATTTTTTTATCGTTAAATGAAGTGCTAAAAATAAAAAAATAACTCATGATTATGGAAATGCATGTTCTTGAATACATTAATGTCCATTGCATTATAGTTTGGTTTTTTATTATCCTCTCTTTGGATGGATCTGTTACTCTAGAGTTTACCAATTACAAATGTTTATGACGTTAAAAGATGTCAACTTTTATCAAGAACGGAGGAACTCACGTTGTCATGGCATAGCTAAGCATACAATATAAATTGTTCAAACGTAATTGCGAATGAGATTCAAACGTCAATCAAGGAATAAATTCGGTCATAAGAACTCACTTGACATTTACTCAATTCCATATGAGTCTACACAATATAAACAATTTAAGTCTATTACACGTGTATTTTACAATTGTTAAAACTTTATCTAATCTAATTTAGTATGATCTGGTTTATTTAAGGCTGATCTAACATATTCTGGCTTGAGACTGAGTTTACTAACACTATCCAACGTGGGAATAATATTAAAATATTCATTAATATAACTCTTAAAAGACCTTGTTGTTGTGGTCTAATCTCATGTTTTGACGTTCACGTCGATTTTAGCTTTTTATGGTATGATGATTTGCTATATATAGGATACTTTCTTCCTACTTTCCTAGCATGTATTTTGGAATTTGGATGGAGAGGGTTCATCATCCATGTATGCACTTTTTTCAAATGTACTCAAAGTTTCGCTCGACAATTTCTTCATGAGTACGAAAAGATAAAAAACTCATTATTGATATTTAATCGTCAGAAAAGTATAGATATTGCAAATGCATCGCAATACTCTTTCAACAGAAAAGTAAATAAACAAAAAAGAAAAGGAAAATAATTACATGAATGATGTATCAAGAGTCAAGGGTATTGTTAAACTAACTACATCATCTCCAAGTACACATTAATATTTCTCCTAAGCGGGGACTCTGCCATCAGCACTATGGTAAAAATTCTCTTGAAGCAGATCATACAATTTGCTTCCACTATCCAGATCATTGAAGATTCCAGCTAGTATGGCATTTGTCACCGGTTGGATTCCTTCACCCCTCTGCAATCTGCATGACGGTATTTTTCGCATTTCACAAGATAACTCCAAAATTTGACTATTGTGTTTTTTTATATTATTATAGACTTTTTCTCTGATATGTATTGCTTGAACGGCAGTACAGAGCGTGCTTTAGTGCATCAACTGCTCAATGCAATCTTAAATTTATTAGTGCTTTAGCTGCTCAATGCGATACTACTTGTTGAATAAAAACGAAATCAAAGTCACCTAAAGTAAAAACAAAAGAGATGGGGTTGAGAGTATTTTGAAATAGGAAGAGATGAAAGTAGTCACTTGAGGATTTCCTTCAATTTTGTAGTTGAGTTGGAGCACCATGTTGACACTTCTTCACATGCTCTTCCTCTCTAAAAACTGGGAAATCCCCATCCTTGGGTGGGTTGAATACCAAAGCCCCATTGAAATTTGATGTACTGAAAGCTTAAAGATCCCTATCATAATAAAGTAGGGTTGGAATTCAGGTTATCCATATACTGAAATTCATCAATACAAATTTGTTCTGAAAATAATTTAAAATAATAATAAAACTAAAAGTTGAAGAGAAAAAAATTCTAGAACATAACGTTTGTCCATCATATGCGTGAATATAGAGGAAGGGTGAAAGAGAATTTGTTCCGAATTTATCCTAAATTTTAAGACATCCAAAACAAAACAAAATAGAAAAGTGATTAGTACAACAATAACATCCAAGTCTTAGTCCAAAAAGAATTCGCAGTCAGCAAACATTAATCGATACATGATATTTGAACCAAAAGGAAAAGAAATATAAAAAGATAAGCTATGATAAAAAGATAATATAAAAAGAAAAAGATAGACGGAGTAAATAAAAATGATAGAATAAAATGGATAAAAAGAGTATATACATAAAGATAAAAGGATAATAAAACACAAGAAAGAAAAACACAAAAAAGAAAAGTGATTAGTAGAATACTAAATTCTGAAGAGGAATATTGAACCGAAGAACGTATGAATAAAGAGGAGAGACACGCACTGAGGGAAAAGAGCTTAATTCTTCTCCATTTAAGAAGAATCAGGTAGAGAAAAATTAGTAGCATGTAACAACTTATACAGTGCAGCTAACTCACCAATAGCTCACTGTCTGACATGTAAAAAAAGTTCTCAGATTTGGAACTTATCAAACCACAAAAGAAATACTCCTATATATCTCATTTTTCTTACAATTTTTTAGGAAATATATGAATATATGATTGTGGACTTATCACTAACAATTGTGTATATAGTTATGTATATACGTACTATATGTAACTTTTACCGAGTACCATATTACAGAGTAGCTCATAAAATTAAGACTAATATTAACACTATAACCTATTTAAGCAATGAATCTGAGTTGGAGAGTTTATAAAACTAAGACTAATATTAACAATTAATTCAAAACAGAGTTGGAAAGTTTAGTAGTTTTCCATATATAATACTTTACCCTCCCTTCTTCATTTCTGAAAATGCATGGAGAATTGGGTTAACTTTCTTTACAGGAATGCCAGATGGAAGATGTGAAGAATGTCAAATTAGAGAGCATATTCTGCTTTTAGGAAGAACGTCCCTGTATGGAGTAAAAAGATAAAGCATACATAAATACATAATAATATAGTTGGAAATACTTGATCTTTGAAAAAAACATTATTTCCACCTTGACCATGTGTGAAAGAGTAAATATTAGTTTGATGATGGCCTAATAACTACAGTACAATAACTGCCAATCAGGGTGGAAGAATCCCATATTAGCTTCCTGCCATGTGGAACAGAAGAAGCAAAAATTTAGTTTCAATAAATGCATAAATATGAGGAAGAAGTGCTATAGAAAAAGAAAATAAGAGTAAATGGGAAAATATTAAATTTGATTGTGAAGAAGCATAATTCCATAATTTCGATTACTCACTTAACTGCTTCTTTAACATTATCACTAATTTGAAGTTTGAACCGTCTATTATGTTTTGAATAGTAAATCTGAATATAATGCTACAATTTGATTATTAATAGACATCTGCAGGCTCAAATAGAGTTAGTAGAGACACTTACATACATTTGCACCTTCCATATGTTAATTTGAACTAAAATCATCAATTTTTAATATCTCAAATCCTAAGAAAGCGATCAGGAACTCTCATGAAACATATCTCAACCTACATTTACTAAAAGTCTGCTATTGGTGTGTAGAAGCAGATATAGTGTGGAGTTTTGCACCTTTAAATTTGATTTTTTACTTTTTTGTATTCAACCTTCAAAAATCTGCAAAATATGAATGTAACTTTAAGATGGAATGAAACTTCCAGATCATTTTGAGCAACCCCAAATCATATGCAGCAAGTTTAAACAAAAACAACTAATAAAAAATTAATTAAATGCAAGCAACAAAGGAGTCGTAGTCTGAAATACAAAAATCCAATATGATGTGAGATTGAATAATCAAACTCAAAAGAACAATCGGAAAATTTAGACGGAAAGATTCTAATCAATGGTTCTCTAAAGTTTCACCAATGAAGTTATAATCTTCTAATCAAACTCACCATTTAGGGATCCGGAAAGCTAATCACAAAAGTGTTGGATTGTAACCTTCATCTTTGCTTCACCATTCCAGAAGGATTCCGCCACACACTCCACATCCCAACATAGGTTTTCCCTCTTCAGAAAATTTGGCAAAACCCAGAAGCAAATCGGAGCCAAGAGCGAAGAGATAAAGGGGTACGTGAGGGAGAAAGCATGAGATGGGTAGGTTTGATTGGTGGAGCAGGAGAGGAATAAGAGCAGCGATAAGATATAAGGTAAGAAATGCGAATGCAAGACGAACATGTGCCTTTGAGGGATTTGGTTTCCGGTGGTGAGGGAGAATGATGAGGATCGAAGCCGGAGCTCGAAAATGATGAGACATGGGAAGAGAAAGAATGAAGTGTATAAGGCTTAGATCTATATTAATTAATCGTACGGCTGAAATGACCCTGAAAACTTGAGCGGGAAAATGCTCCTCCTCAAAGTATTGCAATTATGTAGAGAGATTTTTTGTATTCAACCTTCAAAAATCTGCAAAATATGAATGTAACTTTAAGATGGAATGAAACTTCCAGATCATTTTGAGCAACCCCAAATCATATGCAGCAAGTTTAAACAAAAACAACTAATAAAAAATTAATTAAATGCAAGCAACAAAGGAGTCGTAGTCTGAAATACAAAAATCCAATATGATGTGAGATTGAATAATCAAACTCAAAAGAACAATCGGAAAATTTAGACGGAAAGATTCTAATCAATGGTTCTCTAAAGTTTCACCAATGAAGTTATAATCTTCTAATCAAACTCACCATTTAGGGATCCGGAAAGCTAATCACAAAAGTGTTGGATTGTAACCTTCATCTTTGCTTCACCATTCCAGAAGGATTCCGCCACACACTCCACATCCCAACATAGGTTTTCCCTCTTCAGAAAATTTGGCAAAACCCAGAAGCAAATCGGAGCCAAGAGCGAAGAGATAAAGGGGTACGTGAGGGAGAAAGCATGAGATGGGTAGGTTTGATTGGTGGAGCAGGAGAGGAATAAGAGCAGCGATAAGATATAAGGTAAGAAATGCGAATGCAAGACGAACATGTGCCTTTGAGGGATTTGGTTTCCGGTGGTGAGGGAGAATGATGAGGATCGAAGCCGGAGCTCGAAAATGATGAGACATGAGAAGAGAAAGAATGAAGTGTATAAGGCTTAGATCTATATTAATTAATCGTACGGCTGAAATGACCCTGAAAACTTGAGCGGGAAAATGCTCCTCCTCAAAGTATTGCAATTATGTAGAGAGATTTTTTGTATTCAACCTTCAAAAATCTGCAAAATATGAATGTAACTTTAAGATGGAACGAAACTTCCAGATCATTTTGAGCAACCCCAAATCATATGCAGCAAGTTTAAACAAAAACAACTAATAAAAAATTAATTAAATGCAAGCAACAAAGGAGTCGTAGTCTGAAATACAAAAATCCAATATGATGTGAGATTGAATAATCAAACTCAAAAGAACAATCGGAAAATTTAGACGGAAAGATTCTAATCAATGGTTCTCTAAAGTTTCACCAATGAAGTTATAATCTTCTAATCAAACTCACCATTTAGGGATCCGGAAAGCTAATCACAAAAGTGTTGGATTGTAACCTTCATCTTTGCTTCACCATTCCAGAAGGATTCCGCCACACACTCCACATCCCAACATAGGTTTTCCCTCTTCAGAAAATTTGGCAAAACCCAGAAGCAAATCGGAGCCAAGAGCGAAGAGATAAAGGGGTACGTGAGGGAGAAAGCATGAGATGGGTAGGTTTGATTGGTGGAGCAGGAGAGGAATAAGAGCAGCGATAAGATATAAGGTAAGAAATGCGAATGCAAGACGAACATGTGCCTTTGAGGGATTTGGTTTCCGGTGGTGAGGGAGAATGATGAGGATCGAAGCCGGAGCTCGAAAATGATGAGACATGGGAAGAGAAAGAATGAAGTGTATAAGGCTTAGATCTATATTAATTAATCGTACGGCTGAAATGACCCTGAAAACTTGAGCGGGAAAATGCTCCTCCTCAAAGTATTGCAATTATGTAGAGAGATTTTTTGTATTCAACCTTCAAAAATCTGCAAAATATGAATGTAACTTTAAGATGGAATGAAACTTCCAGATCATTTTGAGCAACCCCAAATCATATGCAGCAAGTTTAAACAAAAACAACTAATAAAAAATTAATTAAATGCAAGCAACAAAGGAGTCGTAGTCTGAAATACAAAAATCCAATATGATGTGAGATTGAATAATCAAACTCAAAAGAACAATCGGAAAATTTAGACGGAAAGATTCTAATCAATGGTTCTCTAAAGTTTCACCAATGAAGTTATAATCTTCTAATCAAACTCACCATTTAGGGATCCGGAAAGCTAATCACAAAAGTGTTGGATTGTAACCTTCATCTTTGCTTCACCATTCCAGAAGGATTCCGCCACACACTCCACATCCCAACATAGGTTTTCCCTCTTCAGAAAATTTGGCAAAACCCAGAAGCAAATCGGAGCCAAGAGCGAAGAGATAAAGGGGTACGTGAGGGAGAAAGCATGAGATGGGTAGGTTTGATTGGTGGAGCAGGAGAGGAATAAGAGCAGCGATAAGATATAAGGTAAGAAATGCGAATGCAAGACGAACATGTGCCTTTGAGGGATTTGGTTTCCGGTGGTGAGGGAGAATGATGAGGATCGAAGCCGGAGCTCGAAAATGATGAGACATGAGAAGAGAAAGAATGAAGTGTATAAGGCTTAGATCTATATTAATTAATCGTACGGCTGAAATGACCCTGAAAACTTGAGCGGGAAAATGCTCCTCCTCAAAGTATTGCAATTATGTAGAGAGATTTTTTGTATTCAACCTTCAAAAATCTGCAAAATATGAATGTAACTTTAAGATGGAACGAAACTTCCAGATCATTTTGAGCAACCCCAAATCATATGCAGCAAGTTTAAACAAAAACAACTAATAAAAAATTAATTAAATGCAAGCAACAAAGGAGTCGTAGTCTGAAATACAAAAATCCAATATGATGTGAGATTGAATAATCAAACTCAAAAGAACAATCGGAAAATTTAGACGGAAAGATTCTAATCAATGGTTCTCTAAAGTTTCACCAATGAAGTTATAATCTTCTAATCAAACTCACCATTTAGGGATCCGGAAAGCTAATCACAAAAGTGTTGGATTGTAACCTTCATCTTTGCTTCACCATTCCAGAAGGATTCCGCCACACACTCCACATCCCAACATAGGTTTTCCCTCTTCAGAAAATTTGGCAAAACCCAGAAGCAAATCGGAGCCAAGAGCGAAGAGATAAAGGGGTATGTGAGGGAGAAAGCATGAGATGGGTAGGTTTGATTGGTGGAGCAGGAGAGGAATAAGAGCAGCGATAAGATATAAGGTAAGAAATGCGAATGCAAGACGAACATGTGCCTTTGAGGGATTTGGTTTCCGGTGGTGAGGGAGAATGATGAGGATCGAAGCCGGAGCTCGAAAATGATGAGACATGAGAAGAGAAAGAATGAAGTGTATAAGGCTTAGATCTATATTAATTAATCGTACGGCTGAAATGACCCTGAAAACTTGAGCGGGAAAATGCTCCTCCTCAAAGTATTGCAATTATGTAGAGAGATTATGTAGAGAGATTGTTACTTCAAAACAAGCTTTTTGAAGCAATTTTTTTTCCTTCCAGAATTGCAAACACTCTGGCAGTCTGGCCTACTTGACTGCGCGGGTAAGCTTCGAGTCGGCCGAATTCTTTATTTCGATTCGCTCCACTGCCTACGGTCTCGCCCTGCGCGGCTGCGCCCTCTGGCCTCCTACACTTCCTTCTCGCTAAGTCTCTGGTCTCCGGATTTTCAGGTACGTGTTTTACTTTCAGTTTTATTTTTGATATATTTTATTTAGTTCAGCCTAATGCCTTTATTTCTGGAATTTGATTGTTTTTGTGATTGTGAGTTCAGAGATATTGCTCCCTAGATTTCTGGAATTTATTTTTTGTGAACTTTCAGGTTGTTGTGACTCTTGTAAGTTCTGAATTCAGCTTGAGTAATTGTTATCTGTGATTTAATGTGAATAATGTTACTTGTTTGCATTCAGATTTAGATCTTTAGTTCGATACAATTCATGTTGTTGTTGTGAATTGTGAATTCTGAATTATTAATTCTGGAATATCCCTAGGTGGCTCCCTAGATTGTTGCCACCATTTTAAAGCTGAAAACCACCACTTTACTGTCTAACTGTTATTTTAGATCGTTAGATTGTTACCTGTGCATTTTTTTTTTAAGTTGTTGATTCTCTTGCTTTTAGTCAATGTGCAGTTAATGTAAATATATGCTTCTAATTTTCACATATTCTCATTAATTCTTGGGTATTGGGTGGATTTTCAATATAAGAAACTGCCAAACTTTTGCTTTATTTGTGGTGTTATTGGTCACTCAGAGACATTCTGTCTGTTAGTGTATGAGGAAGGGTTAGTTTTGGAGAAAGGATTGGTGTGTCTCTTAGGGCAGGTAGTGGGGTGAAGACTAGTCCCACGGGAAATAAATGGCTGGTCGGAGGAGGCTCACGCTCACTTCGCAGGATTGGGAGAATCATGGGTCTGACGGAGGAGCGAAGAGTGAGAAGGAAGACTCAGTGGTCTCGGGTAGTAGCTCATCCAAGGAAGTGGTTCTGAAACATAATGACGAATCAACAGGGGAATAGAAGCGCATACGCATTTGGGAGGGAGGGGAAACGCAGCACCAGGGGGGATGAGATGGCACTGGACGGAACAAAAAATGGAGAGGAGACGAGCTTAGAGGGGTAAGCTTGTCAGCGGTTTGGGTGCGGAAGGGGGATCCAGGGTGGTGCTTTCTGATGTTCGCTGGAAGACTCAGTGAGGGCTTTTATTTTATTGCTTTTATTTATTTGGACTGTTTGATGTTTTTTGGTTTTGTTTTATTTTATTTTTTCAATTGTAAGATGATGGTTTTGAGTTTGGATGTGGGTGATGATTTAACTGCGATTACTGTCATTGGCTCAGTTGTGCCCATGAAAGGATCAACGAGTTATATTACTGAGGTGATTAACTCTGAGTCTGGTTCGAGGGACGGCGGTTTTCATAAGTTTTATTGTCGTTTTACCTACTATCTAAATGGTATGCTATCAATGTAAGCCCCTTTCATCCAAAAAAAAGTATGGAGTATATTACATTTTGGCCTCCACTGGATCTTAATGCTAGATCCACCCCTAATTTCTGCAGTTGATTACTGACAAGCATCATCAAGTCATGTGTAAAGTCCGGAAGGTTTTTATTATTCATTAGGATGTGTCGAATGTATTCATCAGGACCTTTTGTAGTCTCATGGAAGGTTGCTGGAAATATTGACCCTTTGCCAGTTTCCACCTAGAAAAACATATCGACTGATAATTAAGATTTAAGAATGAAAACAACCTAGCTAGCTCGCTTATATTAACTACCTAGACTTAGTTTCTCATACACTCTATGTTCACAACATGTTGAATTTTACACTATTCACATGCTCTACTTTGACTATATTTTATTTGTTAATGTAGAAGATTTTTTTTAAAATATCATTGAATTCTTGTCATTAAAAAGATTATGTTGGCATTAAAGAAGGATACTTGAAGCTGTTAGAAGTTGAAACTTGGATGCTGTTTTGGCTTATGATTCACTTTACTAAGACTTCATATTAAGAAAACTCTGAATTTGGTGGTTTACTAGTTTTAAGCTATGATTCTAAGTTTAGTTTTAAGTTTTTAAGTGTGATAATGTTACTAGAATATATTTTTATTACTTTACTGTTTACATCTAGAATGATATCGAGTATTTAAATATAAATATTGGATATGTAACCTCTTTTACCTGATTCCCTATGCCTCTGTTTTTTTCCTTAATAATTATCCGCTATATTCATTGAGCGCTTTTAGGCGATCTGCCGTAATCCGCTATCGGCCATTGATAACACTGGATCACTGGATGTCTATGTGTGGTGTGTCTAACATTTACATTGTTGGATTTAGGCACACGCAAGATACATTTTAAATTGAATAACTTGTTTAAACTCAAGTTATTTTACATATAAGACTGTTCCCGCTCAGGATAAGTAAGTTATAAACACAATCGCATTACAATCAAACCAGTTTTGGTTCGACCGCCTTTTATTTCTATTCGGAATGACTGGTTTTGAATATTTTCATCCTTCTTAACCTTGTTTTTACTAACATGTAGGAGATTGGTAACCACCTTTAAAAATTGTGCATTTGGAAGAAGAACTCATCATACAGGTTAAGTTATATATTTAAATAAGAGTTCTTTGTTGTGCCATTAAATGTAATTTGTACAGGAAAACTGAGCTAGCTGGTTTGCCATTATTTCAGAGCACACCTTCCAAGGGTCAACTTCTAATTTCATAGCACGATATTGAAGAAATCATTGGGCAGACAATTTCTTGGATAACTGTACTGATAAGATTATTTTCTGATACGGTGCTGGCACACCTCTTATTGTGGACCCTTTTGATGATTAAAGTTGCCTATTGACCTGAATTTGGCATATATTTGATCCATATATTTCAGCAGGAAATGTCCAGATTTTCCTTGTTTTGTATACGGTGAGATTATATAGAAGGGATGGTTTGATTTGATTGGGATGGAATTAATTCTGCATGAAATTTTGTGCTTCTTATCAAGCTGTTAAACATCTCCAATCTTATCAAATTGTTAAGCCACATCAACCACCTCTTTTTCTTTCAAACTATCTAAGGTTTTTGTTTTGTTCGTCACCTCATCATTCCCTACATCTTTTCTCTTCTTCCATTCACATTCATCTCCATCTCTAAGTGAGGTATGCTTCATTTACTTTCTATTTCCCTTTAATTTCGCTTATTTTTCTTTATATGCATCCATTGTTATGCATATTAAATTTGGCCCCTTCTAGTCCAGTTGTATTTTGTCTTCAATGGCAAGTGGCCCTTCGAGAAACCTCCTGTTTAATCTCTGTCTATCTTCCAAAAAAAACATTTATCGGGTCAGAGTATTCCAAATTTCACCCCAATACTTCCATTCTCACCCACCAGAATCAAATAAGTTTCAAGATTACCCTTCCTGCCAACCTAGATTGTTTTACCCGCGTATGTTCTTCCAGACCCACA